ATGATGATGATCATCATCATACTGGCAGTAACAGCATTGGCAATGGCAGTAGTGATAATGGCGCAGTACTACCATATTCTCCCATATTAGACCGGACAAGAGGAACAACAACAACAACAACATCGACAACAACAGCAATGGAGACAGCGTCAGAGACAGCATCAGACAGAGAATGGCCATCATTCATTGTCAACTCGAAGCCTCCGTGCCATTCCTACCTTTCGGGCGTTGCAAACAAAGTTCTGGAAAAACTGGGGAGAACTAAACAAAGTCTGCTCTTGTTTATAACCCAGTATATACAGGATGGTGGTACCTACATATCTTTACAAGATGATATGTTAGGACTTGGCATCAAACAACATAACCTGCATTGCCTTCTCCTGTTTCATTCATATAATAGGACAGAGGAAATATTCAATATTATCAACAATGAAACAATCTTTGGAATCCCTGTCGCATCTTCTCTCCTCAAAAGAATACGCGACTGCTATAATGCTTCGATTGACACGTCGCTATTGCCACTGGACACCAACACTAGTGATATCTTTGGATGTATCTATGATGACCTGGGCACTGGAAGGCTTTATCTCCGACAACGACGGGATGGACTCATTGCGTTGTATTGTACCAATGACATTGTAAATGGCACCATCATAACACAATACTATGCCCAATTCAATATCGATTATACAGTCGGGCGTACCTCTATACCTCTTCACAACATCAAGTCTGTCATCACTGGCACGTACCCTGGTTGTAGCACCGACTCGCTGAAGCCTTATCCGACACAGTTCTGCGGTGTTGGTAACATGGCCAATGTGGGCAAGGCATTCAATTGTTCAGTCACTAGAGGCAAGGATCTGCGTCCTGATATGGGATATTTGATCAAGTCTACAACCATCTTGTTCAATGACTTACAAGTGGCGTACTTCCTTGTGTCGAACAAGATGATCAAAGCACACACCGAGATTGTGTTGTGCACGCCATCATTATAATATATGTTCAATCAATAAAGCGCGATTCATTGATTGGATCACATGTACCATTGCTGAATACCATTCGACGATACCATCCGACACAGAGATTATCATTAAACGTAACGACATGACAGTCACAGGACATATTAATATGTGGTTTACAACCACATCATGAACATCTTGATCCCATCGAGATGTCTATTTATTTATGTTCCGTAGTTTAGTTGGGTGGTGAACACGTTTCGTCACACATCGACCGAATGCTATAAATGATCAGATGAACGATCGTTAAAATAGTCAATCATTGTTGTCCATCCCATCTTTCGTGGATCATTAACTAACTAATTACTAATAATAATCAATCCAAATGCAATTACTTTATCCATTACTATCACTAATAGTTGTCCATGCTATTGTTATCAACGGTCTAGATGATATAAAGGAGTTAAAGTTGGTTCTGATGAAGGACTCTTCTCCACCCAAACCTACAGGAGTCATGACCGAATACTATCACAACAATGAGTGCACTGGAATACCTTTCAGCTCGGTTCTTTCGGAGAAATGCCGTGATGGACTCCCAGCTAATCTACATGAGCAGGGTGGTGGCTTGATAGCCACCTATTCCGATCATTACATCATATATACAAGGAACAAACAAGGCTTCCCGCTTGGTTGCCAGTCCCACGATCGGGACATAGAGGGTGATATCCACACCAGCATCAAGTTCAATTTGTGTATTCAAGGTCCAATCTCTGGTCAGTCATTCCTTGCMCATCCACTATTTGACAAATAAAGCGTGATTCATTTCATTGGTTGGACAAGAGCTTTATTGAATAGCAATAAACAACAAAAATGATGCAATCATCCACATCGAATTATAAGCTGTAATGACAGTTCCAGATCCATTCTGTTGACCATGTACATCATTATTCATCGGCTCATTCTGAAGCATGTTGCCATCATATATATTATTTGTTGGTGGCGCAATTGCTATAAACCTTGAGTGGTAGTTCTAGATTATTAATGAATGAGGAGAGGGTATGAATATGGATGKTGTCTTCTGACCCAGTCTTATCACATTCTTTCCCTTACCATCTTTGAATTATATCCACATTTGGTTGATGTACCACTCTCCAAAGTACTGGTGAGATAGGAACATCTTTGACAAAGATAGTCAGAGCATCTATAGGTTGACATTTGAATGTCCGAACAATTGTACAGGATGAAATCATTGCCAACCTGGTGGCATGATTGGTTGCGATACTTGTTGATATAGTAGTTGTCCGAACAATCACCACTGAGCCATTTGGCATCGATACAGACACCGGCTTGGCCATCAACTGGAAGTGAGTAAGCATCTGCAGACATAGTGTATCTGGTGACCATTGTTGATATATATCCACTCTGTGGATATGGATCGAATGATCTTGAATTGCATGCCTCTAGTGTCTGATTAAAAACAGTAGTTGTGTATGAGGCATTCAATTTGCTGTTGCAATACATTGGAAGTGCGTCGCCCGGTAACTGTTGATCATCAATCTTGATAATGATGCTTGATTCATTACTGGGAATGATCAATTTGCCAAGGGTGTTACACATGGATATATATGTTGTTTTGTAGATTGTTGAGACATCACAATGGTCACCAACATGATAGGTTATTTTGACAGCATCGCGTGAGTTTGCATCAGTGATCCAATCGGACGAGTTATCATCCGACAATGCTTGTGATGGCGATGACGAAATAATAGATATAGTTATATATATTATGAAGACTGGAATAATATTTATCTTTAGTTTCATGGAGGGAGAGGAAGCGATGTTGTTGGTTGGTGATTGATTGTTGTGACAAGATATGAGTGGAGTGATTGACAACATATTTATTCTAATAAGACATGGCGGTTGAAACTAGCAACTCATGGTGAGACAAGTGATTGAACATGCCACCTAGTGTGGATATATTGGGGTGGGGTGATGTGTAGGTTGTCTATTCTATTCTCCTTCCTTTCATCACTCATGCCAAGCCTCTTTCTTGTTCTTGTTTGTTCATGATCGTCCGTTATTTTTCTTGCTCTTCCCGTCATTGGTCGTC